TTTTATATGTGTGTGGCATTTCCTTTTGATTTTTGAAACTACTTTGGGGTTTCACTACTTTTGAAATCCTTTTCGAGACGAATTTAAATTTAAAATGCATTAAATTTATACGAAATCTATTCTTTGTTAATATATAGCATAATATAACATTATTACTAAGTTAATGTTCAATAATATTTTCCACTTGCACATAAAAACAATTTATTTTCCGCTTTAATTTCAATAACATCCCTCTTTCAAAATTTAATTATCTACCATTTTTTTGTTATTGTCCATAGCACATGGCAAAGTCCAATTGGCAATTCCCTATTCACTGGTCAATAAATTGCCAAAAATAAAAGGAGACAAGGTAGAAAAATGAATTGCAATTAATTCTGGCAGCACATTTCGCATCTGTCAGTGTCAGTTTATGAGTCTCTTTCACACATGTCCGCTCAAAAATTCATAAATAAAGTGCAATATACATAGTTGCCGGGCGAGTCAAACAGATGCAAATTGCATAGATGGCATGGGTGTGTTACCAAAACTTTGTGCATAACTGAAAAATATATATACACGACAATGAAAAACGGAATAATTATTATTAAAGTGGAACTCGAAAAATATAATTTAAATTCGCAGAAATGAAATGGCAAAGTTATGCCAGTGATGGCAGGATAGTTCAATAATTGTATGTTTGTTGATAAAATTTGATTTTTTTAATTAATAATGTTAATATTTAAGCAAAATAGATCCAAGAAGACTTTTTCAGCTAATTTTCAAGCTCAAAAGTAGTTACATGATTTTAGATCTCCAAATATGTCTGTATTAATTCTTCATCAATATTTTCAAGCAAATATTGAATGCAATATTGATGTATTTCACTATTATTTTTTTGTAAATGGCATTTTATTTTCGATTCACATCTCCAACTGAGAGCCATTAATTACGAATGACAACGTGGCAGGAACAGATCCCAAACTGAACGGAAACTGAGTGGAAACTTTTGCAGGGCCAGTTTGAGAGAATTCGAGCGAACATGAATGGCCGCCAAGCCAAACAACCCTGACATGCTTGCGTTTCCGTTTCCGGTTGCGCGCAAAAGGAAGATACTGCGGAGCAGCCAGCGAGCGAGCAATTAATTGTTATTGCATTGAGCAAACACACACACACACACGCATGGGACGATGTCGAGCATATTATTGTTAATTATCTGAGGCAATGCAAGAGCTGTAAAAACCGAATTCAAGCCGCCATTTTCCCGGGGCCGAGTGTTAACTGCACTTTAACAAACGAATTTCATTCAGGACACGCACTTTACCCTCCTCACACACGCACACCGCACACCACACACACACACCAGCTTACGTGCCCTGTATCCTTTCTGTGTGTTTGCATTTAAATTGGTCAAGGCTGTGGAAAAATTGATGGCAGGAGGGGCGACATTTTTCGGGGGGCAGTGAACGTGACTCATGACTGCTTCACACCGTTTCCGTTTCGCCCAATTTGTTGCCATCATTTTCCGACGATTCTCTCGTTTTTCCTCCTACTTTTCGTTTTTCTTTTTGTATTTTCCACTGCAGCCAGGTGACGCGTGCTTGGTGCGTTAATGTCCATAAATTATTAAAATGCAAGAAGATAATCTGTGGCAACCATTTTTGATTTCAGTTTCGGTATATAACTCGGAATACTTTAAACGAATTTTGTATATATATTTTATGTGATTTATTTGAAATATGTGTTATGATATGCTAATTTCTTAATTTTTAGTTAGTTTTTAGGAGGTTTAAAAGGGTTGTCGGACAGAGTTTTTGGAAATTTGTTACCTTTGCACTATATATTTGAGTAATTTTATGAGTTTATTTGGCGAATATATAATTTTATTATTTTTATGGCCATAAATATTACAAAGACGAAAGATATAATAAGTGTCGAGCCATTTCTGAATATGTAAACATTAAAGTTATTATAAATTAAGTTAGGTCAAATGGCTTTTAATATTTTTATTATCATAAACAAATATTTCCTTTTCGTATAAATATGTATTAAGACTTTTGCCTTGGTAAGTTAATCCTTTTATTTTCCCCTAAAGAAAATGTAATTAACATAAAAGCGTTTATGTTACAGGTGTGCAAAAACCAAAATACTGCTCAAGTTGGGTAAAAATAATTAAAATATAGTTAGTTTAATGTGAAAACCATCAATCATTGAAGAAGACACTTGCCATCCATCAATTTGGCGCACTTTGTCTTTCCCGTTTTCAGTTTCCTTTGCTGATGAAAATTTTTAATTTCCTTCCCGTGACTTCATTTCATTTTGGGTAATTTCCCTTTTCTTACATTTCCGGCTGTTAATTAGGTTCTTCTCTTCGATTCTTAATAATTCACACAATAATCCGAATATTTCTTTGTCCCTTGCAGCAACCTCGTCGCTTTTGCCTTATCTGACGATCCACATGCAGTCAATTGGCCTCACGGTGGAGGAGATTGCAATTATCTACCTGGCCCTGCCCTTTACCACATTTCTTAGCCCGCCCATTACAGGTGAGTAAATGTCGGAGTCGGTCGTTGGGTGTAAGTGTTTTTAAGGCATCTTAATTAGCGCTGTACTGCGTTGTGATTTTAATTAAAAGTTTTGCTTTGTTTGATAATTCAGACGAGGGAGCAAGAGCAAGAACCTGAAATTAAACCAAGCGAATTTCGCCAACGAAAGTGACACATTTTTATTATGCTTTTTGAGTGTGTGAGAGTGGAGGGGTTATTATTCAATTTTATATACATTTTTTTGTACTTTAAATCCATGAGACATGAAAACAGGTTATAAGAATAACAATAGCAAATTTAGCTAAGAAGAAAGGTATTTTATTTATTAAATTATATTCTTTATTCTCCATTTAAAAGGATAAAAATCAAATTAAAAGATAGATAATCCTTTGAAATTCCCTTTTGTTAACAATACCAAATAAAAGGTGACAAAAATAACTAAAATAACTATTTATTTACGAAAGCATCGGTTTTTGGTTGGCTCTTTCATAAATAAATATATAAACCAAGCTGAATACATTTAATTTTATTTTTATTCTCCATCCTCTCTCTCTGTGCAATTTACATTCATTTTTTTCGGGCCAAGCACTTTTCCGGACGAGTGCGAATAATTTAATTCACTTGCAGTTTTAAATGACAATTAAACAAAGTTCTTGTTGTTCGCCTTTGACTGCCTGTATGTGAAGTGCCACCCCCCTTATCCTGCGGTCGAGTCCTGTTCCTTTTGTGCCGCAGTTTTTTATGCATTCTTATTATTTGCTTTTGCATATTTTTAAAATGCATTTGCGGTATGGAATGTCGGCGACAGCGAAGGTTTTTAAACATTTTATGTGGATACACTAGATGCTGATAAATGTTGAAAAGGATGCACAAAAGGACGAGCTCTGGGGACTGTGAAAAGTGCATAAAGCTGGTCAAATTGTCGGACATAAAAGCTTGGAAAAAGCAGGAAATATATCTATATAAAATGTGAGCTAAGTGAAAATGCCGTCGTAAAGTTGCGACATCAAAATTTCGATCAAGCAACTTGCCTTATAATCATGGTTGATAGTCCCATATAATGGGTATTGAAAACTTCAAGTGCCGAAAGGCAATAAAATCGAAATGGTTTCAAAATAAGAACGAAATAAAGGGGATTACTATTTTCAGTAAAAGAACAAAATGATAGACTTACAAAAACCTAAGTAGATTTGATTTAAATTTAGCCTTAAATTAGTTGATAAACTTATTTACATACCAAGATATGTCTTTGCAGATATTTTTAAGGCAACCATAACTCAACTTAAAGTCTTTAAAAAATATAATAAACACCCTAAAAAATACACAAGATTTTTAGAAAATCCTTTATTAATTTTATTTAAGATGTGATTCAAAACCCTCTGCCAAATATATAGACATCCTTGAGTCTGTCATAAAATCTTGCTGCAATTTTGCTTACATTTTCCACAGATTCCGTTTATTCTTATTTTATTGTATTTTTTTTTTTTTGGTTTTGTAGGTTTCCTCGTTGACAAATTTGGCAAATACAAACCGGTCGTTGTGATGAGTCTACTGCTGAATGCGATTTTCCATCACTCGCTGCTCTTTATACCGCAACAGGAGATTCCGGGTGTGGTGCCTTCGGCATTTGTACTGAGACATGCAGACAGCGGCGACATTGAGGTAAGTTTTACACAAGAAAATAAATTTAAGAACTTATCACAAACCTTTTAAAAAAATCGCTTTAATTGCTTTTATTTTTCTTTTATTAAAACCTGCGTTTTTCGAAGATATTTTTCAACAACTTAACCCGACTTTATGCTAATTTTCCGCTGTGTATTTCCAGTAAAATGAAACTGCCACCTTCAATCGATTAAAGCTCTCCTAGTTGAATGCAATCTGGTTGAATGTTTGTCGAAGGCTGTAATCTGCTTAAGGGGGAAGTGTGGTTGAGGTGCGTGGTGCAAATATCTTGAGACGCTTGTTTAGTTAAGAGCTAAAAATGATGTGGCTGCGGTTTGCCAAACTCCCAATTCACCACCCAGCCATCTCCTCCGCCCCATTTCTCATTTTCCCCAGGATGCATCTCTTCTCTTGCTGCCTGGGAAAGCAGCTGTTGCTCTTGTGCAGTTTTAATGCGCTTACTTCATGGTTGCCGTTGCCATGCAGCCACCTCATCCACATTGATGTCCTTCCCCCCTGGCCCTGAACTGACACAAAAACACCCTTTTTTTTGCCACTTGATGACTTTAGCATTTGTGAGCCAAGTTAAGTGTGCCAACGAAGGATGCCGTTCAGTTTTTAGTTACTTGCAAGTAAATTAATTCATTTACTTGCAAGTTTTGAGTTAATGAAACATTTAATAGTAGAGCTTCAGTTTTATGTCGATTTTAATGGAGTTACTGTGTTTTCGCCTTTTATATAGTTGCGTTTAAAGTAGGCTATAATAATATTCTAAGAAAAATCTTAATAGAAACCCAAAATTTAATATGAGACAGAACCAGTAAATACGATTTTATTCAAACACATATAGATTAAAATCTTTAAAAAATGACCCAAATAGCTCTGTAGCTACTGTCGCTACTGTGACCATTTCCCGATTTTAATACCAATATTCTTAATTTTTCCAAATATACTAGTTGTATTGGTCGAGGATGTATCTGGGTCTTTTGTACTATCTTTCGAAGCATCTTTCGTAGCATTTTCGATGCATTTTTCGAAGCATCTTTCGAAGCATTTTTTGAGGCATCTTTTGAACCATTTTTCGAAGCATCTTTGAAGGATCTTTTGAAGCATCTTTTGAAGCATCTTTTGAAGCATCTTTAACAATACATTTCCCAGAGTTTTCATCTAATTTTTTTTTCTTTTCGTCATTGGACAGCTTCTTGGCTTTGTAGAGCTCAGTTCGTTTGGCTTCATAATCGTTAACACACTCTTGCGATAGTTGTCTATCAGGAAGTAAACTTTCGATTTCATCTAAACGGGCAGTTATTTTCTCTTCCCATAGTAAACGGGTTGTATCATATTCTTGGAAATCGCGAAATGCTTGAGCTTTCTCTTTAGAACTACCATTTTCACGAATGTTTTCGAGTTTTTCAATCCATTTTAAGAATTCAGGGTTACCCTTGGTTAAGTGCCCGTATTTATTGACAATATCCTTAAGTCTCTCCGTAGTTTCATCGTCTGTATTGACCATGGCTTATAATAATATATAATTTATTAATATTTTTTGTTAGTATTATAGGTTTTTGTACTCACCCAAGCACAATATTAGCAGAAACACCTTCATTTTGAGACTGAAACTAAATCTATACGGATTTAATATTTATGCAAATTTAACCAGAAAGTATAGCAAATAAATTTGATAAGCAAGTTTACTAATCCGACTCGGTTACCAAAAATTATTAATTAGTAACATTCAAGTACCTTGTATATTTTTTTATTAATTTAATATCACTCACGTATCTTAGACATCTTAAACTAAAACTACTATCAAATTGTTAATTATAATAAATACGCACATTGATTTATTGCTGATTCCTTTTAAGACTTTATTAAACCTTTTCTTGTTACAAATCGCATAAAAAACATAGCTGAAATGAAACATGCATTCGATTTCTGATTGAATTATTATAAATTAACCCCACCAAAACCAATACCAAAAATCAAAAACTCGCCTTTTTTCATAGACGTATCGGACTTCAACTTCTTTTGTTTCTGCAGGTGGAGGTGGAGGTGGAGGTGGTGGCGGAGCATCTTGGGCAGTACAATGTTAGAGTTTGCATCTATGATTCTCTGCTTTTCACTATTCGAAAACTTATAGGCTCTTTGGAGACGACTTTTCTGGGCTTGGTAATCCGTAACACAGACTTGTGATAGCTGTCTATTGGGAATAAGGCTTTCGATTTCGTTTATCCGATCGGTTATTTTGTCCTCCAAATATTGACGTTGGGTATCGTATTGCATGAACGCATCTAGTACCTTTTTTTTCTCTTCTTTATTACCCTTTGGTTTTTTACCAGCGTAGTAGACTCTTTCGACCCAAGTGGAGAATTCACCATTACCCCAGGATTGGTGACGGTATTTTTCAGCAATATCATTTAGTCGCATTGTTATAAATTCCTCTGTTTTGACCACGGCTTATAAAATAGAAAACAGATTTAAATAAATAATGTTAGTTGCCAGAATCATTGATTTATGTACTCACCCAAGAAGTATAGAAACAGCAGAACCTTCATTTTGTTAAATGCATTTTTTGTAACTGAAACTAAGTCTATACGGATATATATTTATTCACATTCAACCAGAAAGTATAGCAAATAAATTGATAAGCGTGTTACTAATCAGATTCGGTTACCTAAAATTATTAATTAGTAAAATTCTAGTACCTTGTATATTTATTAATTATTTATACTCGAGTACCTTTGACAGTTTAAACTAATCATACAATCAAATTATGATTTATGTTTCATTATATTAATTATAATAAATACTCGTATTGATTTATTGCAAAAACCTTTTAAGACTTTATTAAATCTTTTCTTGTTACAAATCGCATAAAATACATAACTGCAATGAAACATAAATTCGACTTTTGATTGAATTGATATGAATCAACCCCACCACCACCAATACCAATAATTATACGTGTTAGCTTTCTCATAGATGTAGTGGACTTCAGTTTTTTTCTCTTGTACAGGTGGAGGTGGAGGTGGAGGTGGTGGCGGAGCATCTTGGGCAGTACAATGTTTAGAGTTTGCATCTATAATTCTCTGCTTTTCACTATTCGAAAACTTATAGGCTCTTTGGAGACGACTTTTCTGGGCTTGGTAATCCGTAACACAGATTTGTGATAGCTGTCTATTGGGAAGAAGGCTTTCGATTTCGTTAATCCGATCGGTTATTTTGTCCTCCAAATATTGACGTTGGGTATCGAATTGCAGGAACCCTTGTAGTACATTTTTTTTCTCTTCCTTATTACCCTTTGGTTTTCTACCAGCGTAAAAGACTCTTTCGACCCAAGTGGAGAATTCACCATTACCCCAGGATTGGTGACGATATTTTTCAGCAATATCATTAAGTCGCATTGTTATAAATTCCTCTGTTTTGACCACGGCTTATAAAATAGAAAATAGAGTTAAATAAATAATATAAGTTGCCAGTATCCATGATTTGTGCACTCACTCAAGAAGAATAGAAACAGAAGGACCTTCATTTTGTTATATGCATTTTTTGTAACTAAAACTAAATCCATGCGAATGTGGAATTTATAAATGTTCCAGCCACAAGGAAAACGAATGAATTTGATAAGGTTAATTAGTTGCATTTTGGTTTCAAATAAATTAGTTATAGGCTTTAGAAGCTTCTGACTTAAAATATTATATATGTATATTAACTTTAACTTTTTATTATTTTTCTTTAAAAAATCGAATTTCTTATCAGCATTTTTCGAAATAGAGTTTAAGGAATAAAGCTTGAGGAAGGCTACATTTTCAGCTGTAACTTTATCAACGCCAGTCAGGAAATTTTCAATGGCAATTGTTATGTGCAAGTTGCCAAAAATCTTCGGCATCCTCTTAGCCATTCGGAGCCGCCTTTAAGTCCTCTCCTTCCTTCAGTTTTCGCACAATGGCCTCACTTCAGTCACGGCATGTCTCTATTTGGCGGAGAGTCACGGCGAAGAGAGGAGTGTGTTGTGGAGCAGGAGGAAACTACATAAAAGCCGGCATTTATACGATGGCAATGGCAGCAACAGCAACAACAGCAATGGCAACATAATGTTGTCACATGCAACACACCATCACGCACACACCACCAAAAGCAGCAGCAGCAGAAGCAGCAACACACTGTTCTGCAGTATCTGTGTGCGTGTGTATCTAATGCGTGTGGCACGTTTCGCGTTTCAGAAACTTTCTGTCGATTTCTGGGCTCCCAGCAGCTTGCCACATGCTGGCGCACACACAATCGCACAGGATATGCATACACAGTGTCAATACACATACACTACACACAGAGACTGTAAGGATGGGAAATATTACGTATACGCAGGGTGTAGCAAGTAGCAGTCTTAGAGTAAAGTAACTCAATTGTGTAGGAAATTCAAACTAAAATAGAGTTTAGATTGAATTCTATTCTATGATATTTATTTTTTATTTTATTTTTTATATATTATTTATTAAACTTACTAAGGAATCTTAAATCAAAGATTTGTAAAGATCATAACTAAGCCAAAAAAGTATTCATTTCAATTCGAAGAACTTTTCCGTGCTAGGTTTTATTGGGATAATCTGTGTACTCAGTTTTAAAGTTTAAAATAATAAATTTTAGTGTAATTGTGAAATTCAATTGTGTAACCCCTTATTAAATTTTAAAGAAATTTCGAAAAATGTTTTTTTCTGCCGGACATGGCTAGATCGATTCAATTTTGATTGTGATCAAGATTGTATATAATTTATAGAGCGGAAATGACTGCTTAATTCCATTTCAAGGTTCTACTAAAATAGGAATACAATGCAAAGGTACTTATAACAGGAAACAAATATATACATAAGTTTCTCTACAAAACAAATCCCTTCAATATTAAATTTCAAATTTCCTCCAAAGGATAAAGAATTTTTCAAGTGCATCTGTTTTGTCACCCAGGCGAGGTTTTTCCATTTCTCTTTTGATTTTTTTTTGCTCCTGTCGGTTGAGGTCTGATTCTGGTTCTATCTGCATTTGTGCATAAATTTGCGTCATGTAAAATCATCGAAATAAAGCAAATAACTGTCACGATATCTGAGAGAGGGAGGATTGGCGAAGACTCAAGGATATATTTGCTGTACCAGTATTTCTGTGATTTCCCTTAGCATTTTCTTTTTATTGATATCTTATATACATGTGTGTGTGCGTTTTATGCTTATGATCATATCAATGCAAACGACTCTGGCTCTGACTTGGGTTATTGCGTGTCCTTTGGGTGCCCTGTGCCCCGTGTCCCGTGTCCTTTAAGCCGGTCAGATGTGGCATAACAAATTTGAGTACATGCTTTATGGCTGCCAGGAAGAGATTTCGGTTATAAATATGTAGTACGTATGTATGTACAAGGTTCGTTCGAGCTGAGTTCAGTCCCCTTCGGAATTGCATTCTTTATGGAGTCCACCGAGTCTCACACCTTTTGGCAATGGCATTTGGACAGAAGCCGCTCTTGAGCATTGCCAGCAAATTGCAGCTGTCGAAGGACTGCAAGGACTACAAGAGTTTTACATAAATCGAATTATGGACCGAGGAAGCATCTGCATGGCAGGGATACTCTGGCAAAGGGCCCTCTTGCGATTGAGAGCAGGATGCTAAGGCTAAACAAATTCCATTGGTAAATGGTAAATGGAAATGGAAAATAGAAAATGACAGAAGCAGCAGTCGAAGCGTTCTTGACAGCCACAAGCGAATGGAACGCATTAGAAACAGCTCACCGAAACCAACTGCATTGCATGATTTTCCTGCGACCAAGGGAAAATTCGGGGGCCCGCCTGTTTTCAGCTTTACAACAAACTTCCCTCTAACCTGGGGGCGGAAATGCAAAAAAAAAATGTACGAAAACAAAATCCACTTAAATGCGAGTGCACATCAGGTTTACAAGCACTAACAAAAAAGAAATCCAGTTAAGGTAAAACAAGACAGCACTTATTCAAATGTAGGTTATTGAAAATAATATAATTTGTTCCCATGTTCAAGAAAATTCAATTTAAAACTGAGATTGAAAAAGGTCTGTGTTAATAAATAAATATAAAAAATAACAAAGCCAGGCTATATGAATATTTATTCGACACAACTAAAAAGATGTTACACTATTTTAAAATTATTTAATTCAGGCATAAATAAATGTACAGATTTTTAAAATATTCTAAACGTAAATGTGCATTTATATAAATTATACAAAGAATATACAAATATATCACCGAAATATAAACAAATATCTCTATGTTTTGGAAATTTCCAAGACTTCTCTTTTTTTTTTTTTTTTGATTGAAATAAAATACTTACGATTTAAGTTGAAACAGATATAAAATTATGATTAAATCACTGAAATACTTTGTTTATTCATAAAAATTGCATTATCCTTGAAGTTATTTTCCGACATATTGAAAGAATTCTGGCGAGTGTGAGTGTAAGTGTTTCGGTGGCTGTGCATGTGTATCACGTACATTTATCTTAGTGTCGTTTTGCCAGCACTTAAGCCGCACTAAAACACCCACACACAGTGGCACACACTCGCACAACACACTCGTGCCCACATTAAAATCTTTCTTGTGCTCACACTCGAGCCATTGCCGTTAGTCGTAATGAAACGCAATGGAACTGCTATTTTGGGGAACTCCCTGGTCCTGGTCTTGGTCCTCGTCCTGATGGTGATGGTAGTGCCTGGCCCTTGGCCAAAAAAGCCCTCAGCTTTTGCCTTCATTTCATGAATGTATCTCACAGATACTACGCACTACAGGCTCCACCCGCACTCCACTCAACATTCGGCACTTGGCACGGGCGTATATTGAATTTGTATTTATGATGTGCCATAAAATACAATAACACCATTAAAATAGCTGCAGCAAACAGGGCAAAGGCAGGCAGACATAAACGAATAGAAAATACTCTATAAAATTAGTTGAAACAATTTTTGTATGTATAAATATTTGAACATTAATTAGCTGCTTCCTAGTGCTGCCGTATTTTTTATTTACATTGGTAGGCTAGTCATAATATAAGACTTTACATTTTCTTGGAATTTATTTAGGATTTATATATATTCTCTACTTAAAATATATTTACAATATAATATATAAAATATATATCACAAAATATAGTAGTAGTAGTAGTAATTTTCCATTATCTATATATCCCAATATATATTTTTATTTCTAATAATGATTAAAATTTCCAATTACACCTTTTGGTTTGCAATATACCCCATTTGGTTAATGTATCTTCTGGCCTGGAAACGCATCTTATGGCTACATTTGTGTTCAGTCCGCACGTTCGCCGGACGTCTCCATTCTTGGAGCATGTAACCATGTAGCCATGTCCTGCGTCCTGGTACAGCGGCCATATCCTGTTGCTTGCGGTTTACTATTTTATGCCATTATAGAGACCCGTTTCTGTTTGCCGTTTGGCATAATTTATTTTGGTATCGACGACGTCGAAACGGAAATTACCATTTTATTATTGCAGGCATTCGCTCGATACTCCCGCCCCCCAATCAGCTCCCATGCAACCCTTGGATGAGCCTTATTGAA